TTTCCTACTAGTGGCGTGGTACATGAATTCGTGCACATTGAAAGGAAATTAATTAGAGGAAATATTTTAATGTCGCTATATGCCCTTCTCTATAATAGAAGTGTCAACCAAATTCATGATCAACAATGACAGATCAAAACACACACATGCGATTGATGCCAGTGAGAGCTTTATATATGTAGATAAACTTGCTTAACTAGACCTACTTTCTGATTTAGTTAAACTTTTTCCAGCCCAGTGAAGCACCCCAACTTCTCTTTCAGGTAATTGTCAGCAACACAGAAGTAAGTATCAACAGGAAGCAGATTATTGTAGATCACGCAGGGAGAACAAAGGGTAAAATATTTAACTGCAGCAGTGTTTGACTATATTCTGGGTAGTGAGAAAACCTGAAGTCATTTTCAAGGTCCACCATTTCTTCTTTTCAGTCGGGTCAAGTTTCTAAGCTTTCTAAATCTCCGTTTTCCAGCTAATGAAAAGAAAATAGGATTCCACCAAGTCTCCTATCTACCTACTCCAGGACTTCTGTGAGGATCAACTGAGATGGGGCACAGGAAAACGCTTCAGACATTTGGTTAAAGTGTGAAATGTTTCCACCTGGCTGTGTTCCTGGGCTGAAGAAACTGCAAGGAGGCTAGTCACTAGAGAGAGGAAGCTGAGTGTTGCTGCGTGACGTCATTACCCAGATGGACACTTAGTATATTAGCCAGATAGATAGATAGATAGATAGATAGATAGATAGATAGATAGATAGATAGATGATAGATAGATAGAAAGAATAAACATGTTCAATAGAGTCAGAACTGTTCACAAAATCTTTCACAAGAATTTCATGACATTGTTCATGCTGTCAGTTATACAGAGTAATATGCTTGGTGGCCTTGTGGCTTTGGTTTGCATCAGTTGAGCAGTCATTAGGAGGAAGACAAACTACTGTCTTCATGGTTTCTCTGCCGTGGCTCAGGCCTTCATTACTGCACTTGGAGCTGGTGCGCTCAGAACTGAGGGTGACCTCCTGTTGTCTTCAGGCACTTTTTACTTCACAGCTTCCAGAAGGGAGGATGATTACTGAGAGCAGCACAGCACTTAGGCATGGTCTACAGGGACCTGGCATTAGACTGCTCACAACAGAAGTCTTTACTTAAAAGATAGCTTTTCCTGTGAAAAATTAGTTTTAGACTTAAATTTATATTACAGATTTAACACTCCAGACACCTTTGTATGAAAGAAAATCTTACTAAAAGTCGTCACCTATCTAATCCCTCCCTAAATTGCATCATTTTCAGTTCTACATTTTAAAACCTCTTCTGATTTAATAACTGGTCAAAAGATCTTTTATACAGTGTTTAAAGTATATCAGTTTTTGTTCTTATCCAGTTCTGTAAAAGCAAATGGTTTTATGCTTAAGATTTCCAGTTGTAAAGTTATTGATACATTATGAACTTAAAGTGATTTTAAAATCTGTCCTACTACATGTAATTAATAAACAAGACCTCCATAAATCTTTTTCATTTAGATAAAATGAAGTTCTAGATTTTAAGGTGAGACCATTAAGATGATGGTGTAGTTACAGAAATATTACACATAGCTTGTATGTTAAAATTCTAAATTATACTTGCTTTTTATAATATAGATGGAAAAACAGGTACTTTATAAATATTTTACTCATTAATGAAATAGAAAGTTACAAGTAATTCTTTGTCTAAAGGGGTTCTATAAAAATTTATAAGCTTAAAATTTCTAAAAAATTGTAGGTTAGTGGGGATATAAATGGAGTGGTTTCTAGTCAAAGACGAGACATTAGGGATTATTTCTTTTAATTTAGTATGTTTTCAAAGTGTCATCTCATTGAATGCTTTAGCTGTAACTGGATGACTAAATTATTTTGCAAATAATGTTTGGGGTTTATTGAAATACTAAAATATAGATAAAAGTTCCATAAAGTAAATGAGTTAAAAACAATTCTAAATGTTTTTTTTTCTCTTATTGCTTTTATACAGAGGTTCCCCCCCCAAAGGTTTTTTCCTATAGAAACTGGAAATTATATAGGCTACTTGTACATAATTACAATGTGATTATTTTGCCCATTACCTTAGACCAGTGATGGCAAACCTATGACACGCGTGTCAGAGGTGACACACGAACTCATTTTTTGGGTTGATTTTTCTTTGTTAAATGGCATGTAAATATATAAAATAAATATCAAAAATATAAGTCTTTGTTTTACTATGGTTGCAAATATAAAAAAATTTCTATATGTGACACGGCACTAGAGTTAATTTAGGGTTTTTCAAAATGCTGACACGCCAAGCTCAAAAGGTTCGCCATCACTGCCTTAGACTAAAGTTAGGAGAAGACTTTCTGTTTTTCATAGATATACTTGACCTAAATATTATTATACCTAAAACATATTTTTACCAATAGTTTCTTATATGGTATTGTTTTGTTTTGTTTTGTTTTCAGAGAAATGAGGGTTTACAAAAGAAAGATACTCTCTCACGTTCTTGATTTTTTTAAGGAAGAAAGTCTTGAATTCTATATTTAACTACTTTTCTTTAAAATTTAGAATAACTTTTAATAAACTCTCTACCCTCAGTATTTATTGATATTCATTTGCATTACCTTAAGGTTTACTTAAGTGAATGAAATTTTATTTTTACTAGTATAGTGTTTAATGGTAATTAAATTATATAGAGGTGTTAGAGCTCTTTAACATTTAACATAATATTGAAAGAAGCAATTTCAATTGGATTTGTTTCAGAATACCATTTTAGAAATCATTTGGCAGTATTAGCAACATCATTATTATATGAATGTATGCTAATGTGGTATGAAAGAAAGACCCTCATTAAAATCTTGTTGCTAAACAAGTGACAAAACCCTACAAACAGCTTGAGGCTTTAGGCCAGTCACAGTTATTCCTGAAGAGATTTGGACAAGTGTGAAAATACATAGAATGTGCCTTTATTGTGATCAGAACACATAAATGCTATCTCGCATTAATTCCCTACTAAGGGCATTTCTATTTATATTAGGGAAAGAAGTCTTAAAATAATGAATGCCTAAGCATTCTGTTGTGAATTTCTCAGTGTAAAAATATTGTGTTTGTTAAATTCAGAATGTGGACTTTTGATAATAGCCATTGTGTTTGTATTTTCCAGAAAAGGACTAGGATTGGTCACCTATAAAATTTCATTAGGCAAAGTCTTTCTTACAGACATTAACTGAGTGAACTGGTCTGGAGTAGGTCTCTGAGGTTCCAGGAAGGAGAGGTGGTGCAGGGAGATCAGCCCATGGTTCATTACCACTGTCATCATGGAAGTTCCCTTCAAGAAGCCTTTAGGCAGATTTAGTCCTTCTGGGTTAACTTGATGTACATATTCCCTTTGAGTATTGCTCATGTCTTAATTTTTATTTGAGATAATTCTTGCTCCTAGAAAGGTAGATTTTATTATGCCATAAGTAGAAAAAGTAACTTGTGTAGGCATGCTAATGACATTCCAGAGTGAATGTTTTTGATTGCCATGGTCTCTACTGATAATGAGCTGATTATAAGTCTGCTTTGCATTTTTGAGTTGTAGGAAGTCCTTAGTCAAAGCGCACAAAAAATGATCCCATGGTCTGATTTGGCCTGGAATCTAGCTCATTTGCACAGAGAGGATGGAGAACATTTCGTAATTGGAATAAAAAAGGTATCTGAGTAGGTTCAGGAATCAGAGAGCAATTGTTGGGACTGCTGAGACTAGTGAACAAGGAACTAAAGGAAGCTAATTCTATATTTGAAGTGGAGTATTACATGTCATCCATAATTTAATGTGATTAGACCCACTAAATTTTTGCATTAAAGTCATTACCTGCATCTATTGCCTTTGTTCCTATTCTACCATGTATACTTCAAAGTATTCTGTGATACTGCAGGTACATACTGATATCTCCGTTGTAAGGCTCTTGTCCCATTAAAAAATATTTTTGTGACATATTATGTGTTTTCATGGAGTCTCCTGAAATTACCTGCTTGCTTTAAAATAATTATAAATTATATTCCTTAGTAACTAAATGGGTAACACACAGCTCAAGAAAAGAAGGAAATCTTGATAACTTTGTATTACGAGTTATAAAAGATAGTCAGAAAAAGTTAATTTTTTACCTAGTTAATTCTTTGTGAGGATGATATAATTTAAGGTTTCTCTCCCTCTTTTCCCCTACCTCTCTCTCTAAAAATCAATAAACTATATCCTCGGGTGAGGATTAAAAAAACAAGAAAGGGGTGCCTTTATGCATCAAGAGAAGACATGCAGAGACTGGACACCAGATGCCCATGTCTAGAAACAGCTCCTTTTTTTATTTACTTTTAAGTATATTTTTATTGATTTCAGAAAGGAAAGGAAAGGGAGAGAGAGATATAGAAACATCAGTAACGAGCGAGAATCGTTGATCAGCTGCCTCCTGCACCCCCCACACTGAAGATCTAGCCCTGACCCTGGGAATTGAACCATCAACATTCATAGGTTGAAGCTCAACCACTGAGCCACGATGGCTGGGCGGAAACAGCTTTTCTTTTGTTCTTCTTACTCATTTCTTCTAGAATATCCTTTTTCCTCTTAGAAATCATTTCTCTGCATCCCATCTGTCTCCTCACTCTATCTTAGAGGTCATCCTCTCTCCCTCCTTTCATATCTCTTTGTTTCCACAAAGTAAATGACACTCATCTCATTCTGCCTTTCATTCTTGTACCTGTCTTTGGTAGAGCATGTGCTGTGTGCCAAGCACAGTCTAGGTCAGTGGTCGGCAAACTGCGGCTCGCGAGAAACTTCGTGGCCCATGCGCAGAAGTCGGTATTTTGTGGAAGAGCCACACTCAAGGGGCCAAAGAGCCGCATGTGGCTCGCAAGCCGCAGTTTGCCGACCACCGCTCTAGGTAATAGATGTTAAATTATATCTGTCAGAAATTGTGTGGATATAATTACAAATTTTTTTTTCTTTCCAAATGTTTTATTTCAGATTTTACCAAATGTTGCAAGGAATCTGGAATGCTTATGGTAGTAAAATGCCGGAAAGAAAATTCTGCATTAAAAGAATGTCTAACCTCTTAGTAAGTAGTTATCTCAGTGTTTGTGCGTCTTTGTGTATGTGTATGGAGTATATGTAGTAGGTAAGAGTTTATTATTTAACTCATTCAATGTAATATATTCTGTACCCTTCAATCCATCATATTTTTAAGCTGAGTCTAAAATATCAATTTGTTAAACATTATTCTTAAAAAAAGCAACATATTTATAAAGTATTTCTTTAAGTTATGTGGGTCAGCATTGTATCTGATTATATAAGGTCAGTAAACAAAAGCATGTTTTTCTTTTTGTTTTGTTTTTGTTTTAATTATTGTTTAAAGTATTACATATCTCCTTTTTCCCCCGATTAACCCCCCACCACCACTTGCACCCCCGAGCCAAGGCAAGCCCCCACCGCCCCCAATGTCTGTGTCCATTGGTCATGCTAATATGCATGTATACAAGTCCTTTGGTTGATCTCTAACCGCCTCCCTCCCCTGCCTTCTCCCCGAGGTTGGAAGGTCTGCTCAGTGCCACCTTGTCTCTGGATCCATTTTTGTTCATCAGTTTATGTTGATCATTATATCCCACATATGAGTGAGATCATGTGATATATGTCTTTCTCCGACTGGCTTATTTCGATAAGCATAATGCTCTCCAGTTCCATCCATGCTGTGGCAAATGGTAAAAGTTCCTTCTTTTTTATAGCAGCGCAGTATTCCATTGTGAAAAGCATATTTTTCATGTGATTTAACCAATTTCATGAAGAGGTTGATCTATAGAATATATTATAGATGGGCTTATAGTTAAGAAATAGTATTTTTCATCTTTGAGTAAGACAGTGTTCTGCTTTAGTTACTATTGACATTCCATAAAATGGATGTAACCACTATGCTCTCTCATCTTTTCATAGTGACATCTTGAAGCATTGTTTGTGCTCTGGTTTCTGCCTATCTCATCTTCATGAATTCAATAAACTGCAATCTGACTTCTGTCCTCACTCCATTGAAGCTGCTCTTCCTAAAGGTTCTAGTACAGTGGTTCTCAACCTTGGCTGCACATTAGAATCACCTGGGAATCTTTTTAAAATCCTGATTTCTGGGCCTCATCCTCCAGAAATTCTGTTTCTTTGTTATGGGGTGGGGCCACAACATTAGTAACAAAGAAACAGAATTTCCGGAGGATGAGGCCCAGAAATCAGGATTTTAAAAAGATTCCCAGGTGATTCTAATGTGCAGCCAAGGTTGAGAACTGTTCTAGTGGGTTCATGGTAGCCAAATTGAATCTCTTTTCAGTCCTTTCTTTTACTTCACCTTGCTGGTAATCTCATAAAATTCCCTTCTATCTGGCTTCCTGTTTCCTAACGTCTCTAGCTAATTCTTTGCCTTTCCCCCACTTAACCTGTTCCTTAAATTTGCTTCCCTACTTCTCTCCTCATTCTTAAATCTGAGAAAGCTCAGTTTGCACTCATAGATTCAGTTACTTCCTATTGATCGACATTTCTATGCTTCTTTCTTCAGGCACAAAACTGAACTCAGCTTTTACTCTGCATTATGTGTCTTTGTGAATTATACAGTTGTCTAGTATCTTTCTTGTCTCCTAACTCTAATTGGTTATTTCCTATGATTCATTCATTTCCCAAATCTCCCCCAGACCCATTGCATCCTTTTCATCACAGCTGCTCCTCCTTTGGCCTAGGCCCTCATCATTTCTTGTCTGGGTCATTATAATAGTTTATTTATTGGATATCCTCCTTCTAACTTTGCTGCATGCTGTCAGATTCATCTAAGACACAAAGCTGACCTTACAGTTGCTCTCCTAATAGTGCCCCATCATCTTCAGGATAGATTTTAACTTCTTACTATGACATAAATGGACCATCAGGATTTGGTTCTTGCCCTTTCTAGCTACCTCTCAGGCCCTTTCTCCTATGTGCATAATCTGCCATAGTGGTTCCAAGTTACCTACAGTTCTTTATGCATCATAGTTTTTCCTCATCTCTTTGCCTTTGCATATGTACCTTCTAAAGGGATTTCTGATGGTCCTTCAAACTGCAGCTCAAGCATTTCCCCTTGACATCTCCCCCTTCCTCACTTCTTCCCCATCTTTCCATGGTGCACTGGGCCATACCTCTACCACAGCACTTTGTATACTTAATTATAATTCACTCTTTACCTGTCTGCTCTGTAATACCATGGGCTCCTTAAGGATAGGCAGTGAGTGTGCTTCTCATTATATCCTGGGATAGTGCCGTTACCATTAGGTCTTTTTATTTTTCTGGTCTTTAATTAGTTTGGTGGAGTAATGTTTACAGTGAATTTATGACCATTACTAAAAATCTTTTGAAAAAATTTTTTTAATTTCAGTTGCAATTGACATTCAATATTAGTTTAGTTTCAGCTGTTAAAATCTACTTCTAATGTTTGTGCCTGATGAACTGGATATCTGAATGTCATTAAAGTAAGCCTATATTAAATACTTGCAGAGTGATTCACTTTAAAAGATATTTATTTCTTTCTTATAGCTATACTGATCCTGCTTTTTATGAAGAATGTAAAATGGAATACCTGAAGGAAAGGGAAGAATTCAGAAAAACTGGAATTCCTACCAAGAAAAGGCTACAGAAGCTTCCAACAAGCATGTAGGCAAATACTCACATGATACTAACTCTATTCATGGAAATCACAATTACCTAAAATAATGGTCTCAAGGAAGTGTGTCTGCTTATCCTAAATTATGGAAATATTAATTTTATCTGAAATAAAGTTTTTTTAAAAAAATTTTAAAGTTAAGTTTATTAAATGAGAGAAATAAATAGTGAAATGGGACATAGTTTGCCTGGTCATTATGGATTTTTCAAAAATTTTCCACAACTGTAGTTCTACTAATTTTTAGGATTCTATATAGATCTTATCTTACTCTCTATCAATGTAAAGTGAAGGCTAATCATGGGACCTGAAGTAACTAAAGGAAAACAGGAATGGACAACCATCAAAGGTGTTAGTAACTAGAAGTTCAGCAGAGTGATTATGAAACAGAATCCTTCCTTGTTCTCCACTTATTAGCTATACAACTGGAAATAAGTCTCATACAGTTATTGTGAGGACCGAGTAGTGTAAGTACATAGAATAGAGCCTTGGACATGGTAAATGCTCTTTAATGGCTAGTTATTGTTATTATTACTAAAGGCTTATTTGGAAATATAGATGGTAGATAAGTATGTAAAAATTAATTAATTTTAAGCATCTTTGATGAATATTTTTCTAAATGTATCACTATATTCCTTGGCCTGTTAATTTGGCTACTGAAAAGACTTTAATCTTTTTTAAGAAAGGTCTTCTTTATAAACCTAAATGACCATTTTATAACATAATAATGGTTTCTGGAATGAATATAAAATTTTTCTGTCTCAATGTAATAATATGGTCCCAGGTTGAGCTTTTATATTAAAAGTTGCTCCCCCACCCCCATGAACTATCAACTTTACTACAGCTATTGCAATCAGTTTCCAGGTAAGTACATTTTATATATGTTTACAGTTCTCATTAAAATCCCAAATAGAAATGACTACAAGGACAAGATTTAAATTTGTCCCCAACACCACTGAAATAGATCTGACATTTTTAAAGAACTTAAAGAGGACCCTAAAGAACTAGTAGTTAAAGTTCCACACTTTTCTCGAGTGAATCACTCAAAGAACTATTTTACTCTTATTTAAAACCCAAAGAAAACACATTTTCCCAGGCCACAGATCAAAAGGAGGGAGATTACTAGAGCAGAAAAAAGCAAAACAAATATAGAAGCCTAGAGGTCACATAGCATAGGGTTGGCCTTTTTGTATTGGTGCATTTCTTAAAGCACAGGACTAATTTTTGTTTTTAATTAAAGGCAAAACATTTACTTTAAAAAGTTAGTGAAATATATAATATGTGGCTATTTTATAATTTTGATTTGAATCAGAGTGGCCAACTTCAATTTTATATGGAAAATTCACTTAGAGATGCTACTTTCCCGCTAGGTACTAGATATTTAAGTTCATCCTCTTTATTATGTCAAAAACTAAACTATTGGTCATAGCTTTTAGACTGTCCATGCTTATGCACACTGAAGTCTACATCTACAATTATATACCTGCCTCAGTTCTTGTCTTGCTTGCTCATTCGTGCCTCTGCTGGTATTATTTTGTTGTGACAGTCCACAGATTTTTCGCCCTCTAAGATCTACCTTCCCCAAGTAGGCTATCTGGATATGATCATTACTTTGTTTTCACATGATTCAGTCCCTTAGTTTCTAAGGTTTGAATTTCCCCCTATTTTGGTTTTCTAATGTTTCACATAGGTGTCCCTGCTCTACTTATGAATTAGGTTCCATTTTGACAGAACCTCAGTTTCCTTTTAGCGAAGATGTAAATTTTGTTCTAGCTAATAGGGGATCAAGAGGAAGGGATGCGTGGCTATTTGTTGTTAGCTGTGTTCTCTTCATTGGTATGGATATGCAGAATTGGGATATTGTTATAAAAATCTGAAGATAAAGAAATTTTCAAGGGAAGCTCTTTGGAGCAAGTTTATAAGCTACAGATGGGCCATTCTTTCATTTCTTTTTGATCTTACCTAGAACAGAGATGATAAAGTATACATTTAAAAATTAAGTATACATTAAAAAAAATTAAGGCTGGGTACAAATAATTTTTGGTTAATCTTTCTTAAGTAATCTTACACAACATTTATTTAGCACTTTAAACTGCCAAGAACATTAACCACTGACTTTCTGTTTTGATAGCTACCCTTTTGTTTAGATGGAAAAGCATTTTCTCCACTCAAAAGAAGTTAGTTTAACAAGATAAATGTCTGTTATATGAATTAAAATTAACAACAAACATTTAGTACCAGACCTTGGAATATATAATCCACAAATTTCACCTCCACTTCACATAAAAATAATTTTAATTTCTTTTCATTGTTCAAAACATTATCCAAGCCTTTATCTCATACGACTTATTTTCTTTACATAGTAAAATTTCTAATCTTGGTTTTAAAAATGGCAAACCAGTCAGCTACATTAGAGATTAGATGTAATATACAGCTGCTACAGCCTATGCAACAACATGAGAAATAGTTTCTGCTGCTTTCATATTACACAGGTAGTTGCTTCCTTCAGCTAACGCCTGGAGTCTTGTATTAGTTTTATGCATATTGTGTTTTGTTCTGTTACTTGGCAGGAGATTCTACTCCCTTGAGTCAGCTGTGTTCATTGGTCAGAATAAATTCCAGAATCTGACACCAATTCCATTAATCACAGACAAGCCTGAATAAGTGAGTAAGATAATAGAAAGACAAAAATATATGGTGAACAGTGAAAATTGTTTATGTATATATGCTATTCAGATAATATAGACGAGATCTGAGATATTCTTTTGAGTTTAAAATGGATGTTTGAAACTGTCTATTAACAAGGCTAAAGGTTTCCCACATGAAACACTTTATCTCAGGCAAAGGATGTATGAAATCAAGTAATACATTTTATTACTAGTATTCTTAATACTGCAACCCTGAAAAAATTGATGTAAGTTTCCATGTGAAGCCATCCTTGTTATTTTCTTGTTTATAAATTATAGGCCACTTAGAATAAAAAAGTTTGAGGACATTTTACAATTATACGATATCAATATGGCACAGAATTTGGTTTCTAGAATTAAAATTCTTAAATCAATTAATTAAAAATCACTCAATAAGTAACACATTACATTTCAAACCAAAATCTAACAATTTATAAGCTGCTCTATATAACAAGTGACTGTACTGTAGACGCTTTGAAGAAAATTACTTTATAAATTACACATTTAGATTTTCATTATGGACCCTGAAGGGACAGATTGGACTGAAACCTTTGTGATGCTCTACTTCTAATTGGTTGATGTATAGGATTATAATAGTTAGTCACACACTACATAGACTTTCAACTATTTCATCACTTTTCATTAGGACTGGAGATGTACTGGGATAAAGTTGGCTTCTGTGGTCAGGTTATTTTAAGTCTTAAAATTCAAATTGCAATTCTAAGCTTTATCAAAAACATTGTGATTAAAAATGATTTTAAATTTTGAAACACAATAGCATATAGAGATGGAAAACCTACATACTGTTATTCCACTATTTATATTTTTCATATATTTCTCAACAGGAAATGTAACTATTCACATTGCCATTTGCTTATGTAACTTAAAGCAACTTATATAAATTTTCTCTTATATTAATGGCCTCCTCTATTTTTAATGAACAGCTATTTAGACATTTCACATGCTTTGTAAAACCATATCTAAAAACTTTCAATTCCATTCTTTATGTGAGGCAGAAATGTACAAACATGATCAAAGACAGAACTGTCTTTTTGAAACACCTCAAGTTTATTAATTTATTAGTAGTATATATCTGATTCTTAGCCAGAATGTGAAGCTGGAGGGTTGCTCTCATACTGGAAAATCAACTACATAATACATTACAGTATGTGCAAATGTGTACATTGAAGAACTCTGCAAAAGTTTAATCGAAACCTGCTTTCAGTTTATTAAATAATTTCTCAAGAATACTTGCGGGAGGTACAGCAACCTCATGACCAAGTCACAGATCTCTTCAGAATTAATTCTTCTTATAAAGGTTTTGATTACGTTGATCCAAGTTATGCTGGGGTGGCAGGATGCGTAAAGGCAAAGTTTTATTTTTAGTTTCCCCAAATGCTGTTTCACTTGATTTAGGAGGGCTTGGGAGTACCCAAGAATTGTCTTCCAGAGAATTTCTGCCATATGAGTAGTGTTCCTGAAAGTTTGAACAGTCGTGAGGAATAGGTCTCTCGTTATCTGTCCATGATTGGAGAATTGCTTTCTCTGATAAAATCTTTACATCTCCTGGTAAAGGGGGAGATGTGGTATGACAAAGAGTTTTGCCATTTGGTGAGAGAGGGGGGTGTCTTTTGTATGTTGCAGTGAAATTCGTCAAGTGCAGTTTTGTGCTTTCTTTCCCAAGGTCTTCCATGAATCCTACAGGGGCACACGCTAAAAGAGAAAGTACAGGCCAAATGTCAGTTGTCATGGCATTTTTTTATCATAAAATTAACATTAATTGGTTGAATTTATAACTGGAAGTAAAGTGAACATTTCCAACTCAGGGAAGTCACTGCACTGTTCCAGGTATCACTTTTCTCACTTGCAAAATGGACACAGCATAGTAATCCTATCCCGCCTGTATCATTGCACTATTAAAGGTGAAGAATTTAAAATTTTTAAAAGTGGGAAACAAATAAAGTTAAAATACAAGTAAAGATTCTGTTCGGGGCTCTTAATGTGGCTAGAGAAGGCTTGCAGACTTTTTACTTCAGTAGAGAATAAGAAGGCTTTCCTTAAATTTCAGTATTTATTATTAAATATCATATTCCTTTATTTATTCAAATCTTTTTTTTCCATAGGTGGTCCAAAAGCAAGTTTTTTCAGAAAGAATTATATTATGAATTGGTGAGACCTAAATAATATGTGTTCAGGCTTTTATGAATAAAACAGTTTAAATAACAGCTATAAAATAATCCAGTATCTTATGAAATACATATAATGTAAGTTCTGCTACTGTCACAATATAAGCCAAGTAAAAAAAAAAAAATAACAAAAAATTTCTTCAGTAAGCATGTAATGGCTTAGAAAACAGACTGCTCTAAAGCTATTGTTTAGCCACAGTCAAAACAATGGTAGTATGAGCTTTTGTTACTCTTCCAATTCCCAGGGCAGAAAGATCATTTTTCCTAAGCCAACAAGGATGCCAATTGCAACTAAGCTTGACTCTATGTAGTTCTAGAACAAAGCAATTGAACCACATTATAAAATAAGCTCTGTCTTTTTACTTGGGAGGAGAGACAGGAGTGAGAGAATTGGAAGTAATACTGTTCAGCTTTTGGACAGGATGGTATTGTAGTCAGGAAAAAGGTAATCTAGTCTTGTCTCTGTCTGCTCCTTAGAGCACTGAATTTTGTAGTGAGGAGTGGTGGCCTCAAGCCTGCCACTGTTATACGAAATGTCCTAGGAAACTTATAGTTCAAAGCACTAAAAATTTATCACCAGCTCAAGACACAAGAATGAACCATTTCTAAATAGGGAAAACATTTTTCCTTTATTATTATTTGGAAATTATATTTATTATATAAATAAAGAGCCACACTGAAAACTCACTGCAAAATTACTGTATGAGTCCCTTTTAAGAGAAGTCTTATTTCTACCATCAACTAATATTCCCTTATATATAACCCTGGCCACTAGAAAACTCAAGGACAAAATGAACCATAAATTAAGTGAGGGCCTGCCAAAGCACTATATTATTTTGTTTTGATTCATAAGTCACTAACTGTAGAAAATGAAACAAATTCTGAGCTTAGTTTTCCTTCACAATATGCAACATTTCCGCCCACTAGTGTATACTCCTGAGGAGAGCTATTTATAAAATACAATTTTATTTTATTTTTTTTGCACTCTAGGGAGAATCTGAAGTATAAACAATTTAAAACTGGATAATGATTATTTTTTATAAAAAGTCATATTACTTTAAAAAGTAAATTTTAGGGCATTCAAATTTATATCACACAACTTCTCAGAAATACAACTGTTATGTAATAAAAGGTATAAATGCACTGATTTTTCTCTGAGGTATAAAAATAGCTTTGGCAAAGTAACCACTACTAGTTAACACAAAACTCTAAAAGTTTAGTCAGCCAAACAGGTAAAATATGAAAGGAAAAGCAATGAAAATTTTTGTTTGGCTGAAGGGGATAAACATCTAGCCTCTCTTCTAAATAACCTATCTTTCATGGACAGAAAAAATAACTTTGCAAAAAATGAAAACCAAATAATGAATCAAAGTTACTTTTTTCAAAGCAAACAATTGAAAGAGCTAGGTCTTTGGTATACTCTGTAATGAAAAATAGCTTTGGGTGTCTTGGTGTTTTTTTGTTTTTTTTCAAATATATGAAGTAGTTGTGGTAAAAGGTCAACTAGAGCAAACTTAACACCTCAGCCTTATACACATAAGCAACACTTGGCTGAGAAAAAAAGCCACAAGGGGAAAGAATACAGTACTGAAGAAAAAACACATCAGCAACACCTTTATGTGTGAAGTTGACCAGTATGAGACTGAAGCCAAAGCAGAGACTGGGTAGGCTGTGAACATACTATATATTCTTTGGCTTATCAAACTCATTTGATGAGATTTTGATAAGATACGATAGCTTAGTTGCTCTTCAAGCTTTTGGCTGGAATCAGTGGTTTCCGGCAAACATTGACTTGCCTTTCTTGATCGCAGTTGGGGTTTTCAGTTTTCTTAGTAGTTCAACCTGTACTTGAGTCACCAGATGTAAATTAGACATTTCTCTCTTCAGCTCCCAGTATACATTTTGCACATCATCACTGAAATACAGGGTTTAAAAAAAAGTTAATGGTCATTCTTCTCTTTGTGAACAGAAGAGAATAACTTTAAAATAGAAATGCTCATATTTGCATTTCTGCTTGAATTAGTTTTGAGATGATGTAAATTAAAACTTCCTCATTAAATAATTGAAAGACACTTAATTAGGGCATTATAACAAATGAAAAGACTTTATTCATAATAATAACACTGACCTAATTTCTAGCAATTAACTGAACTATACTAAAAAGAGTATTATGAAAAAAAGTATTCTAACCAATGAGAGTTTCTTATAGTTCTTGTCTTAGAATTGAGATTTTATCATAATTACAGTGCAACTGTGTTAATACATTTAATAGTAAGGAATAGCTGATCAAGACTAAAGTGATATTCATGTATGGGTTTTAAATTTGTATTTATCTTATGATTATTCTGTTTTGACACTGTGAATTGAAATACTCATATCAATTGCTGAATGTACACCCAAGCCCCATTAAAATAAAATTTGGGTTTCATGTATTCCATTCTTTTATGTTTGACTGGGCTGTCTCATACTGTTGGTACTAAACCAATGTGACATGACAGCATAAGACATGAAAAGCCAGATGATTTCCTGGTACGGGGGGAAAAACTAGGGAGAGAGGATCATATGAAACAGAAATAAAAACTTCACAAATGCCTCTCGTTTTTATGATTAAAAGTATTTTTACCTCAATTATCTGATAAATTATGTTAGTTATTTTAAACCTAATTTTTAATAAGTTTCATCTTCAACTAAATATTCTTATTTGGATATTCATGATTTTTTCCCCTTTTTAGGTTCTTAATTAACTAAATAAATCAAAATCTACAATATATATCCTTAACTTTGCTGTACTAGAATACATAAAATATTAGAGTAAGAACAACTGTTACCATAGTGTCAAATGACCAGTATTTTTTCATACAGATTAGTGTAATTGTAGTAGCAATGAAATAAAATTGGACAGATATGTCACTTCATTCTTTAATTTTTGTCTAGCTTTAAATGAAAACCTTTTAAAACAAATTTCAAGGAATAATACTCTTGATACTTAAATCTAATGTCCTATTTTAATCACAGAAGCAACAGATATATTAATAAACAATTATTTTGAATTATGTAAGGTTACATAGAATGCTTTCAATAGTAGCAGTGGAATACTTTCTACTGCCTCTGAGAGAAATCTACAGGTTTTAGTCTGTTGTAAACATCACTTGTTCACCAGTAGTCTATTAAAACTCACAGGGCTGCCTGGCCGGCATGGCTCAGTGGTTGAGCACTGACCTATGAACCAGGAGGTCACGGTTCGATCCCCAGTCAGGTCATATGCTCAGGTTGCTGTGCAGGAGGCAGCCGGTCAATGATTCTCTCTCATCATTGATGTTTCTCCCTCACCCTCTCCTTACCTCTCTGAAATCAATAAAATACATATTTTTAAAAATCACAGGGATTTTTGCAGGTTTTTGACAGGTATGAATAATTATGCCACAAAAATTAATCCACTCTACTTCACCAGTAAACATCTGAGATGGTGCTACATTGAATGTTTCACATAGTAACCTATCTTCATTGTGAAGAGAGTTGTCGGTCCTTGGTGCAAACCTGGGCATTTGGTGTGCTTTCCGGAGTTACTTATTACATAGCAGTAAGTATAAACACTGTATGTGTGCTAATAATTCATGGAGACAGTCACAATATGAATCATGCTGCCTAAAAGTAGTGTTTCATTATTGGCATGAGATGGTATATCAGTACCTGACTTGTAGAAAAGAAAAGCAAATACCAAGATAGTGTTTGGATACTGGAATATCAAACATATTTAAACATTCAAAATAGCTAAGCATATAAAATAAAAGAATTATCATAGAGGTATTAGAAGCAATGTCTGATACAGATTTTCCAATTCAGTTTAATGAAGACTGCTTATAAGTTATGTTAAACTAACAACTAGAAGATCACGAAGTTGAACATCTATCTAGTCTTTTTCTTTTGTCCTTAATGTCACCTGGATTGAAAACTACAGATATAAATATCTGAAATTATTACTAAGAACAAGCTCTCCCTCTTGTGGATAATGAAGTAATGGCAGGTACTTTACAACTAACACTAAAGTGCTATAGTGTTACAAATTTATTTTTAGTTTTATCTATTTAAATAAAATGTTTAAATATTACTCAAGTGGAATTGGAAAAGGAAAGTTGTCACCCACAAATCTTTAGCAGAGTTCCAACTAATCTTCACTTAACAAGGCATCTTTGAGATTATACTGCAATACTGACCCCCTTTGCCCACCCGACAGGGGATTAAAATTAAGTTTTACTTTAAATGCCATGCAAGCAAAATCCTATTAATATATATGGTTTCTATAAAGAACTTGTAAAACTACTCAAACACTGAGATGCAACACTAAAGCATCCAAAATGAGAACACTAAAAGCAATAGGTGAAACAAACAAAAAAAGTTGTTTGAGCATTTATTATATGCTAAGCACTTCACCCACATTCTCAGGCCAACTTGGCAAACTAGGTTACCGAATTTTACTTGAGGAAACAGGTCCAAGAAGAATTTACTTCTCTCTAACATGCTGCTGCTCAAAACTGTCTTTTAGTTATCCAGTCTAATAACTGACTGGCTTGCGGGGGGGGTAACATTTTTCACATCACCCACAATATGCATACTGTCAACACAATCTTATTAGCCCCCTTAAAATATTTCATACTTCTAAATCTTAAGTGTAATGAAACCTTTTTATCCACATCTCAAGAAGGGGTACATGTCCTGCTTACAAAGTAAAATTATGTAAAAGCCCAGTTTTCTTAATTGACACTATACATTTACCTCTGATGGTTAGCATTTTTTAGCAATAACGTATTTTTTGAATTAAAGTGTGCAGGTAGTTATTTGGTTTTTTTAGACATATGCTTATTGCACACTTAACAGACTATTTTTGTTCTTATCCCAGAAGGATAATTCTTTTAAGAATTTATGTTATACCAAAGACTAAGGCTGTCCAAGTTTATCCTTAAGATAAGTGATATTAGTGTAAGAATTGCATAATTCTCTATGTATAAATTAGGATTTATTACAGAGTACTTCTACACAATTAACTCTCTAATATCCTACCTAAAATATTATTGAATGTTCAAATATTTTGTTTAAGGCATTACATTATGCACCTTTCTACTAAAGTTCAAGCATATTTTAAGCATCAGTTAAATCAGTGGTTCTCAACCTGTGGGTCGCGACCCCTTTGGTGGTCGAACGACTCTTTCACAGGGGTCGCCTAAGACCACCCTGCATATCAGATATTTACATTATGATTCACAACAGTAGCAACATTACAGTTATGAAGTAGCAACGAAAATAATTTTATGGTTGGGTCACAACATGAGGAACTGTATTTAAAGGGCCAGAAGGTTGAGAACCACTGAGTTAAATGTATTTTATGTATTGTGATCAGACATTACATGCAGTACCCAAGTAATATCCGTTTTTAAGGCTAAATAAAAAACAAACAACTAAGTACCTATATACAAAGTAGTCTATAGAAGAAGAATATTATTTTTGAATGCTGAATAATGTTCATACCTTGAAATGCTTAGTCTTTGGAGATCTCTGCTCTGCAGATTGTCTTCCTGAGATGGATCCTGTCATTTGTTTTAAAAAAGTTTAAAAGTTGTTACATTATATTTATTCTCAATACCAGACACATCTTTCAGATGGGTAGAATATGTCTATAACTGTACAGCATAAACTAGATTTGATATTCCATTTTATGAAAACACCTCCAAACCTATACAAGATATTTCAAAATCAATTCTAATTATTTAGTCATTAATGCTTTAATTTTAAAAAATGCTCTTATGTAAAAGAATTTGGAATCTTACAAAATGTACTTCTGAAATCTAAAGTCTATATCCTAAAAAGGGTAACAAATAACAAAGTAATGCTCACTCAAGGTACATGTGAATGAATTCCATGAAAAAATGAAGTTTTATTGGTATTTCACTTTTTGATATTTTTTAAAAGTACCAAAATTTAATAGGTTATTTTTTAAAAGATCAGCATAAACTTCCTTATTCCACGAGTCTATAAAATCCTTTATATATTTTAAGTTTTAGTGGTGTAGATTATAGATATGACAGAAAAAAATAACATTAAAAAGTAGATTACGTTCAAGACAACTCTGTAACACACTTGTTTTCAGTGCATCCTAATTTAAGGATCTGTAACAAATCACTACCATGGGTACTAATTCACTTGGCAGAAGTGGCCCATATAAACTGAGAGAACAGAATTTAATTTTAGTATTTTTTATTTACATAATCTAAATATGTTTTAACATGGAACATTAAAAAGCTGTATAAGGACTTTGTGAGTACTCTGAACTTGGGAGAGTAAAATATTAAAATGTTTTCTATTATAGGAGTTAAAGCATTTTTGGATCTCTGATTATTCAAAAAATACCAACTAAAAATACTTTTAAGTTGTTATCTTGAGAAGCACAATAGAGGGAAAAGAGAACTGGCCCAAGAGTCACACAAGGTCCATAGCATATGACCTTGGACATTTTTCTTTCCTGTTCTCCATAGGAGATAAAGGAATCACATCAGGTCACTTTTAGTTTCTTTGTATCACTGATTAAAAATATACATTTAAATTAATGTATACTGAAACATATATGTAGAATTGAAACCTTCATTTTTTAAAGAATAGTTTATTGACTTTTTTTTTTTTAAGAGAGAGAGGAAGGAAGAGAAATACTGATGTGAGAGTGTAACATCGGTTGCCATTGGGGGTGGAGCCAGCAATCCAGGCCTGTGCCCTTGACCGGGAATCGAACCAGTAACCTCCTGGCGCATGCCCAATCAACTGAGTGACAATCGGCCAGGGCTGGAAACCTTCATTTTTAAAGCTAATGATATTTTTTTAAAAATATGACAGTTTGGGTTGGAAAATATTTTTCCAGCTATTGCCTAACAATTCAGAAAAATCTAATGTAAACTAGCATTAAGCACAAATGAATTGTCTCTAATATTAAAAAATCCAGTTCCTAGCCAGTCACTAGTTTGCCTGTTTTCTAAAAAGAAGTATGGGTCTGTTTCCTAACTGGTGCCATATGATGTGGGAGTTTCCCATAAAGGGGCTGACCCATGGCTTGGGAAACATTGCTCAAGTTAAACAGCTTCCTGTACTAGAGGACTTCTCAGACCTTACAGTACACTGTAGTACATTGTGAATGGACTATTATTAGGGACCTTAGACATCTACACCATCTCCCTTTTACTGACCCAGTGTTTCCTATACTTCTTTGGCAATGGTGGCTGTTTTTCTCAAAGTATCAACTATACTGGATAACAAGGGCTGGAATATTGGGGGCTACAGAAAGTCTAAAACAGCGGTCACCAACCAGTGGTCCGTGAGGTCTGAAAGGTTGGTGACTGCTGGTCTAATAGGCCCATAGTGGAACTGACCCTAGAACCTTGACCTCATTAATACCAAACACTAATCAAATGAATTCACTAAATATTTAAGCAAACAAACCAAAAAACACTATTATGTTCACGTAGGATGCTGTATCACTTTTCAGAAGGTGTTATATCTTTCACAGAAAGTACTATCTTAAAAATATTTGTAAATATGGCTATAGTAGGCATAAGCAAGATTATTAATGTGAACATATATTTCTCTCTTTGGCTTGCTTTTTGATTCTCATGCTAACCAACACCTTTGAAACAAGACATAAAATTACACATCCCACAATGTCAATATAAGATTTCAGTCTGGAACCCTTGATGAATTAAGCATTTCCACTCTTCCCTTTCCTGGTTTATTTTCTTATATTAGTTGTAAGCATTTTTAACTTTATATCTCACCTTTCCCTGCCAAATAAATTCTAATGAAGGTGGGGACCTTTTTTTAAAAAAATTATTCACCCCATCTCACCTTAGACTCAAAGTTTCTTAGTCTCTCAGATTGTTTCATCAGTAGTAAGAAGTGATAAAGTTTCTTCTATCTTCAAGTCTGTTTCTGTGATTTATGATAGATGAATTAAACTAAAAGCAAATTTATCCCCTAGCACCATCTAGTGGAAAAGAGTAATAAGAACTGAACTATAACACATACATACAATTATGAGCCAAGTTTTTTATGATTCCATGATACTGTTTCCTACTCTATAAGGAAATACCCATTATGTATACAAGCTATCAAATTATTTGAAGTAGAATGTATAATTATACATTCTGAGCTTCTGACAGTTATAATTCAGAGCTTCAAGGTGCAGATTTTTAGTTGCAAGTACATCTTTTTAAGAGAAGCCTCTCAGGGCTACTGGCACCTGGGCTTGTGGGAAAGGATGCTAAAAGCCTTTGAAGGAATTGTGGAACATAGTCACAGGTTCAAAGCTGGGAAAATCAACTTGAGATGTCAAATAGGAAAAAGAAAACATTTTGGCTCTAACAAGAATTGACTGTAATTTTTGTACTGTTTCCCCTTTATCAGGGTTGGGGGCTCCAAGACAAGTTCTTCATTCAGTTCACAGGAATTCATTCCGTCAAGGCCAAGGCAGGATGGTATTACTCTTGATTCCTGGCTCATTCTTAACCAGTGGTCACCTTAGACAAAGACTGCATTGTAGTAATGAGAGGACTGTCAGCTCTATATAAGGACAGTTGGGATTCAGAAGCATATCCTGGCTGTCTGTCGGGAAGTGTTGGAAGTAGTCTTCTTTTAGTTAGCGACATGCAGAGGCACCTCGAGTAGGTGACACAGCTCAATAGTGCTGAAATGCTCAGATGGGCAAAATGGTTGAGCTGAGAAATAATTATCCAGCTGGGTACCTTAGTTTGAAATACATGACTATATATATGATGCATATAAAGGCTATCTGAATCCATAACTTTTAAAATTTGCATTTGCTGCACTGCTCTCACACCACCCTGCTTCTCCATCATCTCTTCTTTTTATCCTTGGCACTATTTGCTATGACACTGGAAAACATGTATCCAAACTTGTTAGAACCCAATGTAAAATATTAGTAAATAGACTCTTGGTGAAGACAGACAGGCACCTGTGTTTTAATGGATGACTTTAAGCTAACCACACTTAAGCAGCTAAGCGGGGTGTTTTGGGTTTGCTCTCCTCTCCCCCGCCCCAAATTCTTGAATTCTCAGCTATTTGCTGAAAATTAAACTTGCCCCAAAGTATCAGACTTCTGAAAACAAGTGGCCTCTATAAAGTCTTTTTTAAAAATTCTAAAAATCAAGTTGTCTCTTGTGGTGTCTATATTTATTAAATTATTAAGGAAAATAAAAGGGAAACAAAACCGAGTTGTCTTTAAACCAGAGGAAAAGATGACTTAAGGAAATTGAAGGAAAGGGAGTTTGAAAGAATAGCTTTAATACATTAATAAATAATAAGCTTTATAAAAGTTTTTGTACAACAAAATTATATAATTCTGGGATTATGCTAAAAGTATACAGTATATCAGATTTTAGCACAAACGGGAGGATAAAGGGAATTTTTCAGAGAATGTAACTCTAAGTAGTTAGAATTTGTTAACTCTGTGATTTTATCCCTAGTTAAGTCATTCATACAATGCACACAGAATCTGAATTTCTCAATTTAACTCTGCAGTACCGTTTGTTTGGCTTTTTGTAGCTCTTGTCTGAGATCATTACATTCTTTCTTCATCGGTTCTAGTTCTTGTTCCAAGCCATGGATCTTCAGGTCACAACTCAGCTTTTCCACCTCCCAGTTTGATGAAGGTGGATTTAAATTCCTTATCACTGGAAAAAAGAGGGACATCACAATTTTTTTTCTGTCTTCTACTTACAATTCAAAAAAGTTATGCTAGTAAAATGCAGATAATAGAAAAACTAATATAATATATGGAAAATTAGTAATAGTTTTCTAAAAACAGTAATTGCTTTAAAAATCTATGCTAATTAGAATAAAAAATCTAGCAAGCATTGTTTTAGAATGTATTGTTCACCCCTATCCTTGATTTTCTGTTTAGGGTAAAGTATAAATTGGTCAGCATGGAACTTCAAGATATATACTAGTCAAGCATATGCTAAAATTAGATTAATAATCTTTATATAAGTCAAGGTTAAGACAGTGACAAAAATTAAATAAAGTGAGTAAACTGAGGCTCACTCCACTAATCACTCCACATAGTCCTTTCAGAGTATAAAGTTTGACACTTAAACCGAGAACATTGTCAAAACAATTTTAGTCATAAACCTTCCACTGTAGACCCCTTGATACAACTGAATACTGACTTACCCTGATTTCGTTCTTTAGTCTACCTAGAAAAGTCCCACTAAACTACCGTAAGAGATCTCATCTCCATCTCCTATCAAAAGGTCTCTCAGAGGCCTACTTTTCAGCTTGCTTCATTAGAATGTTCATGCAAACATGCTGATACTCATATCCCACAGACCTAACTTTTCACCCTAGCAACTCATTTCTCATCTGTACATTTTAATAACCTTCAGAAATTTTTTTTAAAAAAGTAATTGTAACCAGTCCATGACAGTATGTCTAACAGTGGATAAAAGATTAGTGGGAAGAAAAGCCAGGACATACCAGTGGGCAAGAGGTTTTGACAAGGATGGGGTTCTACTCCTTTCTTCATCTACTTTATCACAGACTACCCTGAATAAAAACTTCCTCCACCTCTCCCCCAGGAATAGTGCAATTTATATCTAAGGAAAAGTTAAAAGGAGTTGAAAGCAGAATAAATTAATATAATCCAAAAATTAAATAAGTTAAAGCTGTAGCATACAGATAAAGTAAAGTGATCATGGATATAACACACGAACAGAAAATATGTATTAGTCCCGTTAGAATACTTATAACAAGTGGCATACCCTGCTGAGTTTCCACCTCTGTTCTTAGCTGGAGGAGTTCTACTTCTTTAGACTGCAGCTGTTCATTCAATACTTTCAAAGATTCAGAGTTGTCTTTATTCTAGTTAAGTAGGGAAAATGCCAAATTACATTCAACAAAATCTGCAGGTGATATTATATATTAATTTTCAGGTAGATGTTGAAAAACTGATTCTAGCCTTTTAAAAGCAAAGTGGGGAAATGAACTCAGTTTTTCACTAATCTTTTTGTCTTTTTCTAACTTGGGACATAGTATTCACTGGCCTTAAAAAAAAAAAATACTGACAAATTCTACCATGTCCTGATTTTTCAAAATAAGTGAGTGGTGTTAGATGTATTTAAGTCCTAACATCATTATATAGACTACTACCAGTGCACGAATTTGTGCGCGGGTGGGGTCTGGCCAGCCCGGCCCCAATCGGGGTGGATAGGGGCCGGGCTTGTTAGGAGGAGGAGACAGCGGGAGGTTGCCCGGCTGGGGTGAGGGGCCATGGGCGATTGGGGGTGGGGAGGGGCTGTGGGCGGTGA